CAAAACAACACATCGCGCCCTGATCTCACTCTACACAGCGCGCTCGCGCGCAAACGCGCGGGGAATCGTTGCACCTGCGCGCAGTTGCACACAACGCTCGCGGGGAAGATGCAGACCGAGCTGCTTTTTCTCATGAGTCATCGCGGATCCCCCATATTTTTCAGCAACCAGCCAACACCGTAAATGTATACGCGCGGTAAGCACCCTTTTCTCTCTCTTTTTCTCTCCTTTCTCTTCCTCTCTCCATTTCTCGTTCCCCACGTCCTCCACCTTATTTTTTCCTCGCGCCCATTGCGCGCCGCGTAACGCACGCACGCATGCACGCGGCGGCGTATCGCACGCATATACCAGCAATAAACGTAACACGACGTAGATGGAACGCCACCCTCGCGCGCCAAGCCGGCACAACCTGCGGAACTCGAACATTACCGAGCAATGCGGTCGTGGTAGGCCCGTGTGCGCCGAGTGTGAGTGCTCATTGTCCGCGTACGTGTGGGTGAGTCGTGTGTGCATCGTACACGCCGTTTCGCGGACACGCACGCGGTACTCACGCGAATGTATCGGACGCCGTGCCGCCGCCGCCGCCGCCGCCGCCGTCGTCGTCGTCGTCGTCGTAGCCGCCGCCACCGCCGCCACATGCACCTCCGCATGCACCTCCGCAACATTCTCTCGCGGTGCACGTGTTGCAGTCGCGTCGTTTGCGCGCTTTCTCCGTTGCATCGCCGGTCGCATCGGCCGGCCGGCCGTCTCGCTCGCGCCTGCACGGGGGCTCGTATGTGCGTACATAAGCAAACCTGTTGTTACCGCTCCTCCCCGGCGTTATCTCTCTCACGCATCGGGCGCAGATTTTTATAGGCGAGATGATTCACGAGGCAAGTTCATCAAGTCTCCTCCCCTGGCCTTCCGCGGGCACATCGCGCGCGCTTTCACGGGGATTAGAGAGGACGAGTTTCCTTATTCCTATCTGTACTTCCTACACCGGACTATCAGTGGCGTATGCTGGCGGCCGCATGCACGATTTCGAGCCTCTCTTTCTCTTTCTCGCTCGATCTCTCTGTCTCTCCCTTTCTCCGCATTGTGGGCATAAATTGCGCCCCTGCGAAACGAAGAGAGAGAGTCGCTTCGGCTCCGCTACAAGGAGGACATACTTTAGGTGCATTACACTCCATTCATGCGCGCACTGAACGTTATAACTGTATGCATGAGTTCATGCAAAAGATCCAACGGCTCTACGTTACCTTGATACCCTTGCACTTTGTCGGAAAAGAGAGAGAGAGAAAGAACGCACGCACCCAAGTCGTTGTAGTTTTATATTAATCCTACAAATTCCGTCAAAGAATCATTGAGTTATAGTAAGATTTAATAAAAAAAAAAAAAATGGTTTCCTTGACAATAATTTATAGCAATTATTTCTCTATATTATTATAATTACGAATATCACACCGACAGAAATCATCCAATAAAAAATTAACAAATGAATATTTCCGAAATACCGATGAAATTTTAAATGTGATCAGGATATTCGATTAAAATCGAATATTTTCGATTATAACATTTTATCAGATAAACCGATCAAACAATTATCAACCGATATTTCTCATCGGATGTTTCCTGATCGGATACAAAAACTCATCGGTATTTTGATCGGAAATATCCATTTGTTAATTTTTCATCGATTAATTTCTCTCAGTGTGGTATCTGTTTGGGTCTTCTACTTGGAATCACATTTTTAAAACATTACACTTCCAATTCGAATCTTTATAGATTTCCCAATCAGATTCCATTACATTTTAATAGGAAATAAGATTGAATTACAATTTAGATCCAAAAAAAATTTCTATGCAGAATAGTCATGATCAAGTTAATTTCAATCAGTTATCTGGTTTATATAAAATGATGTACCGTCCTAATTATTAATAATTTTTATTATTAACAAAATCCTGATCACAATGCTTTATATAACTTATCGGACATCGCAGCTGCTTATACAAAGCAGATAACTAATTGGGATCAGCCTGTTCAGAAAACCACAGGATAAATTCCGGGATAAATTCTAGCCGAGATGTATATCACCAAAAATATGAGAAATATCTATGATTAAATCTTTGTTAGAAAATTATTGTCATATATTGCAACAATAATTATTGCAAAATTCGGTCGAACGCGATGATTCAAGAGAGACAGTCGTCGAAGTGCGATATCGTGAAGCGAGCATTCTTGGACGCCACCGCGACGGTGAATTATCAGGAAAAACGGAGAAAATGCACGCGATTAATAGCCGCTACTTTCGCTCTCACGCGGTAAAACTGAAATTTATGGGCCGTGTCTTCTTAAAACGTGTCTTATAATCTCTCGCGGTCGAGCCTGTTCTCTGATTACGCCCGTTGGCCCGACGCGCATCCTTGTATTTAGTTCTCTATCAGCGGCTCCGTTCGCTAAATCAGCTTCCCAGCGCGCAGCTCGCGCATGTGTACGTGTGCGCAATGATTCGAACACTTGGCAACTTGGCGAACGCAAGGCGGAACGGTGGAGACGAGAGAAAGGGAAACGAGAAGTCGCGCCGTTATCTTTGCGCTTAAATCGAATACGGATGAAATTCCGAGGTTCATACAAATGGACAACACACACGGGAACGTCCGCAGCTTCCTGCACTGTCGTTGTTGGCGTTCCGATCAGCGAGGACGATCAGCTGTTACGGGATCCACCCACACATACGAGCGGACACTAGCTCGCGGTAACACGGACGACGGGATAGCCGACTTCTAACCGCAACCACGCAAATGATCGTGTGTAAGACGTAATCGGGACAGTTCTTCTCCGGAAGGTTAATGCCGACGAACGTTACGCTTCTTGCGATCTTGATACGCTATTCGAACTCGAAACAATGATGATACCAGTCATGCTACTGTTACTTTCCGAATACCAAACATAATTTTTACACGTAACTCGAGAAGTAGAATAATATGTAAATGTAGTGTAATGTGTAAATGTTATGTCACAAATATAAATTATCAGATGGAAGCAAGAAAGATCATATCATGGAAAACACAAAATATATCAGTTGCATAATTTTAGTTTATACACTCTACATCTCCGTACTTTTGATTTTCTTTCTATGAATTCTCGTAAATTCTGAAAATTTTCAATTTCTTTACTTTTAATTTACTCTTAACTTTTTGTTTATTTTTAAATTAGCGCACCAAGAAGCTAAGCTTTATAAAACTCGGACGATTTGGTCCGCCATTTTAGATTTGCCATTTTGAATTTTGAAAATTTTCAATTCTTGATTTTTGATTTAGAATCAATGTACTAAAAAAACTCTTAAAAAGTTTATTTTCAGGAAAATTCGGTTTACCAAGAAATATATATTTTATAAAGTTAGGAGAATCTCTCTCTCCCTCTCTCTCTTTCTCTCTATATATATCTATATAATATTATCTGAAGTTTAGAATTGATTTCTTTGAATAAGAAAATTGGTAAAACCACTGTTGTGCACCGAACAATTCCACCTTATAAATGAGTTTCACACTACAAGGTACATAACAATATCTTGATCGCCTTCTCTTTATGGTTATCGCGAAAATGAGATGTAACGCCTTTCGGTTGTAGGTGCGCGTAAACACGTACGGAAATGTTTTCATGGTATTTACGATGACGCGAGACGGTTCGTGCGAATCGAAGAATGTGAGCTTCCCTACTCCTTTTAATGAGATAATATATATGCGCAGTTACACGGCCAGGTAGAATTTGGAACTTAAGTATTATCATAAAAAGACTGAATCTTAGCGCAGCGGTAGAAATCAAATTATAGGGAGCAAAAGATCCGACCTACTTTCCGTCTTGCGTGCTCATGAAATAATCCCTATATTTAACTATTCCTTGAAACATCAAGGCTGTTATAACAGAAGTTTCATTGCTACTCAGTGAGATCATTACGTCTCAATATAAAAAGATCCAAGAAAGTATTCGAGAATATCGATCGCGCGTGAAAGTTTAATGACAAACTCTTCGGCTAATTCTCGTTCATTTTTCTGCGAATTTTCGCGGTTTCTCGTGCATTTTCGCTACAGAAAGATCAACTTTGCGTTCATGAGAGAATCATCGCGATCAAGGCGCGAGACAGGCGCATAAATCTTTGCTAAAAATAATCAACGGGATCCAGTCCATCCGCGTTCTTGCAGGCCGAGGTAAACGCGAACCAGAATCATAATGAAATTAATGCATTATCCTTGCCCGTCCCTAAGTCGGCCGATCGAGATCACTAGTCGAATTTATGAAGCAACCCACCCATCTTAATAGGCATTCCCCCAGCAGCGGAACAACAGAAGCAACGGCAGCAACGCGGCCCTCACGATCTCCGCGTAATTCACGCGAGGGAGAGGGGAAGGAGGGAAAAACGTGCGGCGATTCGATCGCATTCGGCGGGCATTAAAGCGAAAGGCAAGCGAAATAAAAAAAAGTCTCGGAGACGAGCGCACGGACGGAAAGAATAAGGGCGCCGTGAGCCCTCCGGTAGCGAATGAACGCAGCGAGCGGGGGTCCGTGGAGCTGGGGGGGCGTTCTTTGAGATGGGCGATCGCTCCGCGGCGCGGAATCAATATTGTTGGATTGCTTCGATAACGCCTCGTAAATATAATAAAGCCCTCCAACCCCACCCCCGTGCCCTCACTTCGCGTAGCCCTCGCGCAAGGCAAAACTGGCCAAGAGAGAGAGATAATGGTCGGAGCCCTGGGCACCCGGTGGGTCTGTTGGAGGGGACGCGTTGGTAGGGCCCCAGAGCCTCTCCCCTTCGCCCTTGTCTCGCTCTACCACGTCGTTCTCGCTCTCTCTCCCTCTCTCTTTCTCTCTCGCCTTCTCTTTCCTCTCCCCCTCTCTCTCTCTCTCTCTCTCCCTACCTGTTTTCCTCCCTCCCCGTGCGTCTCGCGATCCCTCACCACATAGTAGCGCGCGGGCAGACCTGTCGGGCACCAGAAGAGCCGACTCAGTGAGTTTCAGCCCGAGCCGGCGAGCGCTTGGCACTCTCTCTCTTTCTCTCGTTCTCGACCGGGTCGCCCGTATCGTCGGTTCCCCGAGAACGTCCACGCTGATACCCGAACATTTCTCGGCGGCTGTGTGTGTGGTCCCCCCGGTCTTCTCCCGGCCGACGAGTCCTGTGCGGTCGGAGAAAAAGGGCACGGCGACTGTCGCTGAGGGGGGCGCAGGACGGCTGACTTTTCCGCAACGAACGAAACGACCTTGTTCACACTTGTCCCCAAAGTCTCCGACCGTCGGCGCTGGTGACCGTGGTAGGTGGTAAGGTGGAGGTCGACGGAAGGTTTCCGTAGCGCGACTCCGACTCGGCATTCCGGCCGGTGAGATAATCAGCCGACCGGACCCTACTGTGGAGGACGCGCGGAGACTTCGACGACCGATACGGAGGATGTCACGCTCCATGGACCACCCTGGCTGCCGCGGCCGTCGCCGTGTCGCGGTGGCGATGATCCCGCCGGCGGCCCTGCGGTGAGAGAGCGTCGCGTGTGCGCGAAACCCTCCCTGTCTCGTGTTACCGACGACCTAGTGAACGACGGTAGTAGTGTGACTCTCTCGACGAGTGTGTCATTGGCGAGTCAATGAGGCTTCTCCAGGGACGTGGAACGACGTTGGTTCCCAGCGACAACGGAACGTAGCTGACGCGGCGAGATTGACCGGTTTCCTCGAGTGATGATCGCGGAAGGGGGAGGTCACCTGTTGTTATTGTTGTTCTTGTTGTGTTGTTGTTATTGAGTCGATCGGCGGACGTGTGGTTTACTCGAGGTAGCGAGGCAGCTTTTAGAGACGATCGCGGTTATTCACGGGCGACGATACCCTAGCGTTTGGTGTTTGCGTTCTCACTCTCTGTCTTATACATTTTCGCGCGACGCTCGTGGGGAGTTGTATCACTCACGGATTAATGCACGCCGGAAATCACAGCATGGAAGACATAAGCGTGAGTACTTGCCTATACTCTCTCTCTCTCTCTTTCTTTTTCCGGTTTTTTCTATGCGCTCATAAAAGCGAAAACAAAGCGTTCCTATTGATTCTGTAATTTTTAACGACACTGTACACTCGTTATCGTTAAGTTGTCATTGCGCAGGTACGATATGTGGTACACTGAGAGAAAAAAATAGTTGGAATAACTATAATCTCACTATATTTTATAGTTCATTTTGGCCTCAAACATATATTTATAGTTCATCTAAACATGAAGATATAGTAGAATGAACACAGATTTATAGTCACCATCTTATTACTCTCTATATATATGGTAAAGCACCTTTTGGGAATATAGTTACATGTACCTATATTTGCCAAATATTCCAATTGTATTGACTATATAAAATAGTTAATTTCTCTTACCATTCAATATTTGCCACCTTACCATATTTTTTATTTCAAATAATTATAATTCTTGGTAAAAACTTTACACGGGTCAGTTATACTATACTTATGTTGTAAATATTACAAATATTATGGTAACATTTACTATAAAAATTATATTCCTAACTATAATATTTTTACTATGTCATTATAGTTCCAAATATCACACATTGTTCTCTCAGTGTAGAAAAATTGCGCGACGACAACATAACGGTAAAGACGTTGTCGTTAAAAGTTACAGAATCAATAGACTGGTCACTGTGTGACCACTTGTCCTGGAAATTAATTGTACAATTTCTACGGATGTATGATTCACGCGGAGAACGACATTCGCAATACGCGATGAGCGAGTGTGCTTCTTCATGTGAAATCTTATCGAATTTCATAGTTGTGTCGTCGTACTGTTTTCTTCACTTTCTCTTTGTTATTATTTTTTGATATTTATTTTTTCGCCGCACTTGTGTAACGCAAATATTTGTGCATTCCTCAACTTTTATTATAATTTCATTTTCGGGACACTTACTCTCTTAACATGAATTAGTAAAAATGTTTGTGATTGAACCAGTAAAAGGAGCATTTCACTGATAATCAGTGAATATGTCATTGGCTTTTCTGCTACTTTATTGCTCCATTTATCTTATATCTCACTGATTTTGACCAATGAAAATAAGACCACCGCGAAATCTGTAGTACACAAGTTCATCATACTGTGTATCGAATCCAATTTTCTGCGTTTTTGGCAATGGAACGGCTTCCACGCGATTTGCATGTGATAATACTATGTTTGCAAACTGCATCAATAATAGGTTAATAACAGTTGCTATTAATTAGATACTATTAATTGATTCTTTCAACAAATTCTTTTACTGGTCACAGTGCTATACTTATAACTGAACCACTAGTTATAAATATGGCATTTCAGTGGAGAATACACTATTTGTACTTTAGAGAGCACGTTTCTCTCTTTCTTGATTTTTTGTATGACTGTGGTATCATTCCTAGAAGTATAGAATGTTGACTACCGCGTGAATTTTGCATATCTTCCTATCTACGCTGCAATGATTGGTTAAGAAATTTCATCATCGCACATAATGCTTGCAATAATAAAATATCGTATAATATGATAAATTATACTATATCATCTATGATTAAATTATATTATATCATCATATGTGGTGATTTAACTTACTGGGTGGTCATCAGTGACCCCCGTGGCGCGACTAAAAAATAAGCTGGCGGTCACCAGTGACCCCCACGGCAGTCGACGTGTTAATTGAACCCCGATTAACTATACCTAACTTATATATCAGAAAGATTTACGCAGGCAAACGACCGACAGTATTTCGAATAATAATGTTTACCTCAAATAATGTTACTTCAATAACATCTCAAATAATGTTTATCCTCTCATCCTTATCGCGCGAAGCCAGCATCTACTCGCGCATCGTTCCCGCCAAGCATCACATGAAGCAAAGCGGCAAATGAAGACCTAACAGACGAATTTGCTCAAGTCAAAGCCTTACGCCGAAAACAGCTCAGGACGAATGACCGTCGGCGCGCGTAACAGCCGGCATATTAGACAGCAACGGGCGAATTTCCGCCAGCGAGGCGCAAAAAAGAGAGCCGCTCGTCTTCGCGAAAGGCTCGGGGATGGATTCAGTCGCTCGTTACACCCTGGTCGATTAGTCTCGGGAGACGACGCGGTAGCTTGCTTGGCCCCGAGGTAGCCCTGTGCGCCATGTGTGCGTGTATGCGCACACACACGCGAAGCAGAGGCGACCCGCGCATTCGCCAGCGAGCTTATTAGTTCGCATTGGTCGACTCTCACGCGTCTACCACGCGCGGGACAATACGCCGGGGATTGCACATTGTTGTTTATATTTACGCGTCGCGGCATAAATCTTCGTTTAAGTCGCATTCACAGCCGGCAGCATGGACGCACATCGACGCGAAGGTGCGAGCGAAGCGCACATGGTCGTCACGGATAACGCGCAGTCTTCATTAAACCAAACTTCTTTGCGTGCCGGCCGGCCATTAAGGGCGAAGGACCGGCCTACGACTAATTTGTACTGTAAATGAGACCTCGAGGATCGTTACACACGTAAAACAACGTTATTCTAACGGCCCGGAGCCAAAGCCCACATGATTATCGCTTTCGCTCGACGAATGAGGAAATCGGTAACGTAAACAGACATTTGTTTCTATCGCGCTTGTTCTTCCGTGACTTGCGCGAAACGCTCATCTTCGCACGCGCGTGAACTAGCAGCCCACAGATTATAGTGATGATCGCCGTGTAGTGTTGAACAGCTAAAAAAATATAATCTCATACTTAACGGAATCCTCTTACACATGCCTCGAGAGGATTCTTCTAAAAAGAAAAATACTCTAAAGCCCAAAAAGAAGAGTTTTAGTTGCAAGATGTTATTTCCTGTAATCCCACATGTCCTAAGCGCAAACTTTTATTGAAAAAAAAATATTTAACTTCTAATGAAAAAAACTATTAATTGGAAGTCTATTATTCTAACTTTCTTCTTTTTGGGTCAAAGGAAGTATGTTTACGGGGAGAATTTGTAGGTTCTAAAGAGGACTTCTCGACAAAACTAGTAGGTTAAAATAATCAAGAGAAGTTGATATAACCTACAAAATATCAAAATAAGAGTTAAGTGGAATACCAAAGTCGAAAGTAGGATCTAAATTTCGACTCGCTAAAGATGAGATTACATTTCTCTTGACTAAACCTATTAATTAATGCTGCCAATATAACTCGAGTATTTGTATATCCGGGTACTCACACTCGTAAATATTACGCGGCAACTTGATAATGAATAAGTTATGAGTATGCAACATATTTGTTCATTACTTGTTGTTGTTAAAAAATCAATAACCTGGAAACGTCAAATTATTTCATGTTTTCATTATTAATTTAATTCGCAAGTTTCTCATGTGCCGAAGGCTTACAGATGTAAAATAAAGATGCCTTCTCTCGATCAGAGTAGGCATCTCAAGTTAACCTGAGTCGAAATTTTCATCCTACTTTCAGTCTCACTATTCCATTCGACACCTATTTTGATATTCTGAAACCTATAATACTTATTTTGAAAGTGAAAAGTGAGAAGAGAAATTTCGAACATTATCAGAGTCAAAGTAGGAATAAATTGTATCATTAGAATTAAGCTAAATTAGCTTTGCTAATTTAGCTCTTATTGCGTTGTAAAATTCAAGGTTTAACATATATAGGACCAAAATTTTGATTCGGGAATATATTCGAGTCGATAATGTCTGGAAGGTATCCGGAGAATACCCAATTAATTAACCCTTTCGCTGACACGTTTATTTCACTGTTTGTGCCTCGGTGGGCAGAGAAAAAAGTCGGAGAATTTTTTTAAAACTTTGTGTACAGGAGGTTTTTGGGTCTTTGAATACGATTTTGAGGTCAGAATTGTAAAATTCAAAATGACGGATTCAATATGGCGAATCATATATTCGCAAAATAAAACCTCTTGTTAGATTCCATTAAAACTCGGTATAGAGAGGTTTTCGGGGTCGCTGAATACGACTTTGAGATCAGAATTGTAAAATTCAAAATGACGGATCCAATATGGCGGATTTATGGAAGAATTGTCATTCATGTCACAATACTTATCTTTTAGCATACTCAACTCTTCATTTTTCACCTCCGGCATTAGCTGATGATTCTAAAATCATGATCCCGGAATATGCCACGAGGAGGCTGCGCGGTAGGATTTTATACATTCCATTTTAGTTTTTTGTATTTTTTGTTTTTTTTTTTATAGTTTTGTATTATTTTTTTTTATTATTTTTTGTTTTTTATATTTTTATTTCATCGTATACATATTTGTATAATTATTTTATTACGGTCTTTCTTTACCTTATTCCTCAGTTGTGGTCATGAAAGTTTTTGAAACAATCTTTGATGCATGATATTCGATATTATAAATTTTAGAATTATGAGTTCTCAAACGAAATCAACAAATCCCTGAAAGTCTTTATAACAAGTTTCAAAAGACTGTGGATTCTTCGAATTTATGATCCGTCATATTGGATCCATCATATTGGGTCATTTTGAATTTTACAATTCTGACCTCAAAATCGTATTCAGAGACCCCTATATACAGAAATAACTATATACAGAACTATATACAGAAATAACCCCAAAAACCCCTATATACAGAATATGACAAAATTTGCATCATTGAATCGCAAAATAAATGCATGACGCCAATTGACGTTATTGCCCATCTGGACACGTTTCTCTTTGACGCCAATTGGCGTCATTGCCAGCGAAGGGGTTAAAATCGACAGCACTAGTAGTTAACGAAAGGCAGCCGAATTTCCGATCGAAACAATGGTTCTTCTCGTCTCGCGGTGCGCGGAGTAACGCACTGGAGATTAAGACATTATTCATAGGATGCAGTTAGATCGGGGCATTCGCCGCGTATGGTAATGCGGTGTACTACTTTCGGAATTGTCTATGCGTGCGCGAAAGCGAGACGGCCCGTGATGACTACCTTCGGATCGCGGCGAGGCAATTTTCGCCGACTAACTGAC